GAAGTGGCTCAGGAGGGAGAGAAGGGAGGTGAACTTATAGGAGAACAGACCATGTTTTCTGAGGGGCTGCGAGACTAGCACAAAACAGAGCCTTTCCATTTGTAGAACTCTGTTCTGTCCGAGGCTGATACTCACGGCATCTGATTTTTACACCAATAACATATCAGTAACATATGTAGATGCTCAGTGGAGTGCCTGTACCTGGGACGGGATGAGTGTGTGTAGCTTCTACACTGAAGCACTGGCTTAATTACAGAGGCTGGTCCTGTCTACAGGGCTCTATGGGCCAGGCAAGCCTTCCAGGCTCATGAGAATCTGAAGTAGCAAAACAGGGCAAGATTATGGTGGGTGGGAACAGACCAGCAGCTTTAAGTAAGGGCCTAAAATCCAAATAGCTTTCTCCCGATCTCCTGACAGCCTGCTGGCCTCAGCAGCCGATGGATTCCATGGGTGTTAGCTGCCGCCAGGGTTTCAGCAGGCTGAGGACCACCCCAGTGTGCCCCTCTCCCAAGGTGCTAGCACTTGACAGCTCCCTTTTCCCCTCAGAGGTTTTAGGAAAGTAAAAACTACCGTCTCCTCCTCACGTTAGGGATGACTGTGCCAAAGGAAGGTAGAGCTTCTAGAAAGAGAAGAGAATCTGGGATTCCTAGGACTTTCTTGTTAGAAACAATCCCAAGACTTGCTCTCCAGCTGCTGGGGCAAATCCAGGTCTCGGTAGGGCTGGTGGCCAGTCCCTGGAGGATAATCCACGGGGCACAATGTCCAAGGGGATGAAGCCATTTGGGAGCGGCGGGGAGCTCAGCGGGAACGAGTGATCCCTACCCCAGCCAGGTGGCCCCTCTGCGGCTGTGCCTGGCTCCCATTCACCATAGGCCGCTATGCTCGGGCCCACTGGAATCGTGTTTCTTCTTCAAACACTCCCTCCTTTTTTTTTTGAGACGGAGTCTCGCTCTGTTGCCAGGCTGGAGTGCAGTAGCACGTTCTCAGCTCACTACAACCTCCGCCTCCTGGGTTCAAGCGATTCTCTTGCCTCAGCCTCCCGAGTAGCTGGGACTACAGGCACACGGCACCACGCCCAGCTAATTTTTGTATTTTTGGTAGAGATGGGGTTTCACCCCATGTTGGTCAGGATAGTCTCAATCTCTTGACCTTGTGATCCTCCCCCCTTGGCCTCCCAAAGTGCTAGGATTACCGGCGTGAGCCACCGTGCCTGACTCACAAACACCCCCTCTTACTTTATCTTCTTGGCAGCTGAGAGGTTAAGAAATCCCCTCCATGTGGCAGACTCCTTTGGATCAGACCCTGTAGCTGCCAGGTCCCCACCTAAATGACCCCCCACCCCACCTTTTCCTGGTGCTCTGAGTGCAGAAGCAGTGGGGGAACAAGAGTGCCTCAGCCCAGGATTGCTGGACGTCAGGGCTCACCTCCATCTTAGAGAACGGTCAGCTCCAAAATTCAGAGACTTGTGTCCAGATTCCTCAAGCTGTGTCAGGAAGTCTTGTCTTTTCAGTTAAGAGGAAACCGGGTTTTCCTGCATGGGTTCTAATAAAGTCTTTGATCTATTTCAGGTATCAGAATTGCGTTTACACTTACAGAATTCTGCCCAATGAAGATGATAAATTCACTGTTCAGGTGAGTCCTTTACAAACCTAGAAATCTGAACCTGACTTCAGTCGATACTGGCAGAGAAGGGGTGGAAACGATGAGGAAGAAAGCGCGTGCACAGGTAGCCGGACATGAAGGCCTGGCTGAGCCTGGAGTTTGTGGGGTGGCTTAGCTGGTAAACTGTGGCCCTCTAAGTGACCCTGCTCTGTGACAGGACAGAGTTACATGCCACGGGCTATTTGTGGTCCATGGGTATGAAGAGGAAACGAAGGTGAAGCAGACTGCCCAGAGATGAAGGGAAAGGAAGGGCTGTGGCTTGGCCAACTGTTGTCTTCATCTCTCAAAGGAGAGAGAGGAAGTGGCTCAGGAGGGAGAGAAGGGAGGTGAACTTATAGGAGAACAGACCATGTTTTCTGAGGGGCTGCGAGACTAGCACAAAACAGAGCCTTTCCATTTGTAGAACTCTGTTCTGTCCGAGGCTGATACTCACGGCATCTGATTTCACCATGCAAAGTCAAAATGTGCAAAACTTGCACTTCACTTTTTTTAAATATTATTTTTGAGACGGAGTTTCACGCTTGTCGCCCAGGCTGGAGTGCAGTGGTGTGATCTCGGCTCACTGCAACCTCCACTTCCTGGGTTCAAGTGATTCCCCTGCCTCAGCCTCCCGAGTAGCTGGGATTACAGGCGCCTGCCACCATGCCCAGCTGATTTTTGTATTTTTGGTAGAGATGGGGTTTCTCCATTTGGCCAGGCTGGTCTTAAACTCCTGACCTCAAATGATCTGCCCACCTCGGCCTCCCAAAGTTCTGGGATTACAGGCGTGAGCCACCCCACCTGGTTGCAGTTAAATTTAAAAAGAAAAATCAGCTGCACCCATTCAAGCCGGGGAAGGCCACCCTAAGCACGGTTTACTAAAGGCTTTGTTTGGCCACAAAATGTGACAACTCAGTGTGTGGAAGCCAGGAGAGCTATTCTTATTCGGCTGCATGAAGAGCACATGGGGGTGGCAAGAAGGAAGGAGACAAAGTTTCCACATCCCCAGTGGGGGGCAGGGGGATATGTGTGTGTGTGTGTATGTGTGTGTGTGTGTGTGAGAGAGAGAGAGAGAGAGAGAGAGATGCTCAGTTCTCAGGGACTAGAGTAAGAGACACTGCAGTGCATCCACGTCCCAAGCAGAGTAGCCGGGGTAGACAGAGGTTTGGACATCATGTCATGGAAGAGCAATGACGGCATTGGAGAAGTTTGGTTGAAAAGAAAGTGGAAGTGGGAGGGGAGAGGCGGGATACACTCCGGTTTCAAAGCTTGAAAGGAATGATTCATTTTGTGCAGAACTAGGATGCAGTAGTAGACAGGGAGCTGGACTCAAGGTGGGAGCAAACCACAGGCAAGTCCCTGGGGGCAAACATCCCCCAGGAATTGTCAAGAGGGAGAGCGTGGTGAGGAGAACGCCCCTCAGGAAGACGGTTTATGAGGATGGAAGGAATTGGTCCGAGGAGCAGTGTGGCTGCGAGAAACCCAAGGGGCGTGTGTGATGCGGCCTGGTCCAGGGGCTGTTTCCTGCAAGGCCTCCTTGGGAGATGTGAGTCTGGGCTCAAGCAGAACCACTCCCCGTGTAGTCAGGCTGGCCTTGCTGCCTTATCCTCCTGCCCCTGCGTCCGCTGCAGCCTCCAAGGCACATCTGCTGGAAGGCTTTCCACTGGCCTAGGGCGCCCGCAGGTTTGGCCCGGTTCTTAGTAGTCGCCAGGAGCAGATGTTGGCACACCTAGTACAAGAACGCCCTTTCCAGCGCTTGGCAGCTATTTGCCATGAGAATGTCTGTCTCTGACACGGACTCTTCACCATGTGTGGGATGTGACTGGCGGAGGGGAGCCCTGTCTGGGGCAGGCAGTTGGCTTCAATGACCTCTACCATTTTTTCCAAGTCTAGGAGGGCATGAGCTATTCTGGCAGAGTTGGCATCTGTGACAGGTGGTTTTGCTGAGAGGAGTCGGCAAACTCTCTTAATTTAAAAGTTGGTCGATGCTTTTGATCTTTTTCCCCTTTGTGGTTTCTTCTCTTCCTTCAAAGTGAAGAAAACTTTAAGTATGACTGGAAAAGACATGACTGTGGCTTCTAGTAGAGTTGGCACCCGCGGCCTGTAAATGTGTAGACTGCGTTTCCGGTTTGCCCCTCTCTGTCACCATCACGCTCTTGCTACTGTGACGTCTTGTGACCCTGGGAACTGCTGATGAAATCCGGGGCCTCATCAGACTACGGGGGGGTGGGGGCGGTGCAGGGAACAGAAACTCACCTTGGCTGACTGTGTAAGGGTTAAGGGGTGGGCCGCCTTTGTGGAGATGTGCAGAGCCAGGAAGCAGAAGGCCGCCCTAGGGCCTTGGGACCAGAAGAGCATAGGGTCTGCACGCGGCTTCTCCCGTGGCTCAGCTCTTCTCTGTGGGGCCGCTCTTCCCCGCCAGCAGCCTTCCTTCTCAGACCCCAGTCCTAAGAAGGAGTCTGATGGCTCAGCCTCCATGGCTTTCTCTGCGTGGGCCACTCAGGGGCTGCCAGTCTGTGTATGAATTGGCTGTCTTCAAGCAGATGCCCCCTCTACCTCTCGGAGATGCGGACAGAGTCATGGGGCAGCGTGGCTCCTTAAGGTCTCTGCTCAGCCAGGGCAGTGGGTGGGCAGCTTTCATAGAAGAAGGGCAGCCCTGCTGGACATATCTGCTCCTGACCCTGGCACTAGGCCCGTGACCTCCTCAGTAGCCGACGTGGTACAGGGAACTGTGGGCTTAGGTGGTCTGAAGAGGTTTCCCTTCAAGGTGAATTAAAGGAGAATTCTCATAGGATCCTCCTAGGTGGACTCACCTATGAGAATCTACCTCCAAGAGTAAATGACAGCAGATGTCTACTGAGGACCAAGTGCACACTCATGCCCAATTAAGCAGACTCAGAGCCCTTCGGGGAAGCTTTAGCAGTTATTGATCTCTGCCTATTTTAACTCAAGTTCCTCTTTTCATGTTGAGGCAAAACCTCACAGTCTTTTCTAAGCTTAGCCACAGTTTCTAAATAACTCATTCCTGACACCTGAGCCTGTTCAGTGCCACCAGAACACGAGGCTCCCCAAAATAAGAATCTGGACTGAAACTTTGCCAAGTGAAGCTCCGAAAGGCTTTCATTGTTTCTTAGTTTAGTAATTTTAGCTCTTTTCCTGGTTCTCTTGTCAACACCAAAGATCTCATCTTTGTTCTTTGCAGACCAGCTTCATGGAGGTGGCCCACATGTCATAGCCCATGACAGCTCCGTATCAATCAGGGAGAGGAGCCACCTCACCTGGGGGACTCTTTTCCCTTACTCCATCTCTCACAGACTTAAAAAAAAAGTCTGAGATGGGAGGGCAGGATGCAAACTGTAACTTCATCCAACCCCCTCGTTCTAAATATGAGTGTTGCTGAGAACTGTGGAAGTTGGAACTCACAGCCAGGCCTCCCGGCCTCCCCAGCTAAGCTTTCTTCCTTCCAGCCTAGAAGGTGTTTCCAGGCCTGGCTGGAGTCTCCTGGGGAAGGATGAGCCCAGGACTCTGCCCAGAGGGCAGGGAGACAAGGCAATGTGGCCTCTCAGAGAGCTTGGCCTCTCGTCCTTCTTACGGTTGTAGATAATATTTGATCCCAGGTGGCATCTGTCCCTTGTGGTAAATCAGCAAGACGCCCCTAGAATGAAAGCAGACTCCACTCCCGGCTGGGATCTGGGTTCAAGTCCAATTTGGCCAGCCATGTGGCCTTGGAGAAGGACCACCAAGAAACTGCTGGAAAGTAGAGATCACACACATACCTCCCAGCACAAGGAAGCTGCCGAGGAGGACGGTGGAGACAGTGGGGAACTGGAGGTGCTTTAGAGGATTCTAGGCAGTGCTGGGAGTGGTGGGGAAGGAGGGGTAAATTTTGGAACTCCATCTCCCTCAGCTCTGCTCTTTGGGCTGTGGGCTTCATGTCTTCAGGGACCTAAGTAGGCTCTGGAACCGTTAAGCAGTTGTTCAACAGCTGCTGTGCCACTCAAACCCTGAGAACCTTCTGGACTTAGCTTGCACTGCTTGTCCTGGTTGGGGGAGGGTCGGGCAGTGCTCTGAGCCCTGCATGAAGCCAGAGGAAGGCAGGATGGCTCAGCCCCACAGGCCTGACTCTCCCACACCAAGAGAGCAGGTTTCTTGTAAAGCCCAAACTGCTTTCTTGACTTGGAAAGGGAAGTGACTCTCCTGTAAGAGAAGCGGTGCCCATCTTGAGCTGCTCGCTGCAGACTGAGCTGGGAGACTGCTGCTGCCTTTGAAATGGCCCCTCTCTGGGAGAGTGAGGAAGAGTCTGAGGCCCTGCAAGCCGCCCTCATGGGCCAGCTCCAGGGTGGCCAGGGAGGCCTGGAGTAGCCTCAGACGTGTAGCATAAATGGTTGTCTCAAACCCAGGGCCACAGTCGGAGCAAAAGGGGCCCTTCGGCTCCATCCTACAACCTTTTGGCCCTTGTGTCCTTTCTGACATCCTTCCCACCAGGAGGAATAAAGCAGAAAATTAAAACTACCCATAATCCCCTATCACATCAATGTTCTCTGTGAACTTCCTGTCTTTTCTTGAGGTTGAGATTGTATCTAGGATATTGATTGTTTGAGTCAAGATGGGAGCACCCCCACGTGTTTCTGTTTGTTTTGTTTTGTTTTTGAGACAGGGTCTCGCTCTGTAGCCCAGGTTTGAATGCAGTGGCATGATCTTGGCCCACTGCAACCTCTGCTCCCGGGCTCAAGCAATTCTCCCACCTCAGCCTCCTGAGTAGCTGGGATGACAGATGTGCACCACTATGCCCAGCTAAATTTTGTCTTTTTCTGTAGAGCCTGGGTTTTAATGCAAGTTTAGATGAAGAGTTAGAAAATATCTATCTCGTAGACCCTTTCATTATTCTTTCTGGATTTGGAAGAAAAACTCCAGTGACCTGAGCTATTCTGGTGAGTTCTAAAGAAGAGACACTCGTGACTCAAGTCCCTGGTCCCTTACGGTGGCTGTCA